AACCTCCCGAGTGCATCCATAACTCAATAGTGTACACTGTGGTGTTTACCATTTGTTAAACAACCTATTGTAATCAGCAGCTACTTTTTTATATAGAATGATGTATATATAAATTATCCTACAAGAATGTTTTTCATTACATCTGTCTGACAAGCATGTAAGCACGAAACTCAAGAGTTACAGGGAATCATGCGTGTTTCATTTTAGTCATTTTGAACTGTATTTTGCTCTACACTCATGTGTATTGAGCACTTCCCAACAGCATTCGCTACAATTTCGCACAATTATATCCAAGAACATAAACTGTATTAAAATCACTATCACTTTGGAGGGCACTGATAATTTGATAAATAAAAACTAAAAAAAAATGACAACAAAACAATCTCAGCAAAAAAATGTTTAAATATTTTTTATCAAAACCCATAAATAAAGAATACATCTGAAACGCCAGCAGTTTTGCTATTGTTTAAATATCCTTTTCATTAATAATGATAAATCTAAGTAGAAAATAGATGTAAAAGTGCCATCTTGATGCACATACCTGTGATGTTGAATTGCTCTTGGGCCGATATTAAATGCAGCAAACAAGAAAAAGGCTGAGCTGGGAAGTGACCAACAAGCAATAGCAAAACCAGCCCATTCAACTATTTCACCAAAAAAATTGGCTCCTGACACATATGTGAACATACCTCCTGGAAGATATAGATTACATTTATTTATACAATAATCGATTCTGATACAAAGAGAAAACAAATGCAACAATATGGAAAAAACATCTTGATTTGCAAGACTTACAGATCACCAGTAACAACTGTGAGCAATTATTTTCGGTGATGTACAACCAGGTTGTGAAAAAATGTGGTGAAGTTTTATTTCGTGAATTTTTTGTTTGCGGGGGACCCGGCTCAAAAGTCCCGGTAACTTAACATGCCTGTAAAGCTGTTCTGTTTTCATTCAAGATCGGGATTTCAAATGTTTTGAAAATGATGCAATAAAACTATCAGCTAAAGAAACAAAAGGGACTGGTTTGGGTGCCAGAACCTGCTTTCCTATCCTTTAAAGTGCACCTCAACCCAAATTTTTTTTTTTTTGCTTAACGAAATAAGCTTATTTTTTGGAGTATTCCTGTGCAAAAATGTTTTATTTGCTCAAATCTTTAATTTTCTGTGTCCAGTCAAAATACGGAAAATCGCCGCCATCTTGCCCCACGACCGAGTTTAAAGAGCAATGGCTCTAGCGGGTAATGTGATGTCAAATCGAGAACACGAAAGTCTGCATTTCACACATTTTCACTTGTTTGGGAAGGTTGTCATCGATATTGTCCAAAATATGCCAACTAGGTGTGTTGTACGAGGAATGTATGAAGCGCGATACTCTCTTGCAAATTTCGTTGGTTGCTACATCCTCCTACAACACACTTAGTTGGCATATTTTCGGACAATATGGACACAACCTTCCCAAACAAGTGAAAATGTGCGAAATGCAGACTTTCGTGTTCTCGATTTGACGTCACATTACCGGCTAGAGCCATTCCTCTTTAAACTTGGTCATGGGACAAGATGGCGGCCGATTTTTCGTATTTTGACTGAGCACAGAAAATTGAAGATTTGAGCAAATAAAAAAAATTTTTGCACAGAAATACTCCAAAAAATATGCTTATTTCGTTAAGCGAAAAAACATTTTTGGGTTTAGGTGCACTTTAAACTTTGATTTAGAAATGGCTTTGGGCCCATTAAGTTACTGGGACTTCCAAGAAACGGGTCCCCGGTCCATAAATTCATTACTGTACAGACCCAAAGCAACATAGAATCCTTTTCTTTTTAACCCTCTCTACCCTTAAATTGGTATGCATATTCTCCACACTGTTCTCTATACATTTACCAAGGTGCTGACAAGTAGAATTTGTTTAAGAATCAAGAACTCCTTTAGTTGATGATTATTTCCTTTATTTCCTTGGCCTTAATGTGTGATGCAGGGGTGATATTGTAAGGAGAAGTTATATACTAGTCACTCTCGGGGGTTAATAATAACAACAACAACAATCTTTACTTGTACTCCCTTACCTGTGTCAAGTTAAAAAACAATATTGAAAACAAATAGAGGACTGCCAGTCTGGAATAACTATAGGGGCTGGCAGAGCCAGGCAGTCGGTAAACAACAACATTAAATGAAAATAAATTAATGGTCAGCAAGATAGCACAATTACACACATAAAAAAAAGGAAAGGAAGAGGAAAATGTTATTCACACATTATCAGAGGTTAAAGGCTTAAAATAGAAAAGCAAACTGCTGTTAATGGTGATGTCATCTATGCATCTGGCCTCCAATAGATCATACTTAAGAACCAATCAAAACAGTGTAGATTAGACTTAACATATAATACCTCTGTTGTTGATGGTGACATCATCTATGCATCTGGCCTCCAATATATCATACTTAAGAACCAATCAAAATAGTGTATGATTAGACTTAACATGTAATACCTCTTGGAATCTTGTATCCTGTTTCGCCAGGTCTCCTTAAGTTGCGTAGAATGTGATCTGAATGGATATTGATGGCCATCCCAATGAAAAATATTGCCAAACCACAAACAAAGCGGGGACTTGATACGTAAGACATGTCATAACGAGCATATTTTGTCAAATATCTTGCCTGCATGTATCCATTCAATGCACAAAACATAAACGCCAGAAATGACAGAAACATAGGAGTCGGTTTCCCTCCTTTGATAAGCCAAGGGTAAATAAGCGACCTACAAAGAAATATCCAAAGGATGATTGAGTTATTTATTTTCTTTTACTATCTCTTTTCAATTCCCTAAGTATTTAAGGAGAATGTTATAGGTCAATCTCTGGGAGTTGCAGTGCGTGATCCCAGGGGGGGTACTCCCTTATAAGAGCTTAATGGGGACGTGCGTCCAGCCAGGGTATGTTTTTTGAGATTTTTGTCGTAAACAGGGTATCAAATTTATCATTTTTTGTCTTAATCAGGGTATCAATTTATCAAATTTTTTCTTAAACAGGATATCTTTTCTTGGAAGATAAACAGCAAAATTTTTACAAGCTCTAATTTCCCCACCCAGGAATATATCGAGTACCCCCCCCCCCCCTCCGTGCGTGATCCCCTGTACAGAGAACAGAGGGGACATATGGACGGTATGCTAACCTCTGAGTGTAATGTAATAAAAACAACGATAGCAGAATCATATTGGGAGTCAATCCAAAGACATCTTTGCGAGCATACAAAAGCAGCAGACATGGAACGACGAAGGCTGGTAGTTCTTGAACAAACCATGCAACTCTTGCATCTACAGCAAAGCCGTACTTCCGTGTTGAATTCGACGAAAAGTACCGTCCATATTCGGCCTTAAGAAAGATAAGACAGACTGCAACAATTACCCCCGTCACCATCATTATCTTTGAGAGAATGAAGATGAGCTGGAGTTCCTCCAGCCCTTTCGCAAAGTCTAGGAGGGAAGCCATTTTCTTAATATGCAACTGTGATGAAAACCTGGGAACGAGTAAATCGCCCGGTTACTAAGTTTTGTGTTTTGCGCCATGGCGGGAAATATATTGGAAAATCTTTGATTCACAAATTTTGACCTTTTTTTAGCCATGAAGCGAGAGATTTACCAACAGATATTATCCATGATGCATATGTATGGTTCAAGGGACTGTTTAAAAACCATAGCTTTGCAGTTCCCCGGGTAAGCGTAACGTAAAGTAACGAGAAAAATAAACATCTATCGAGTCGCTACATAGAACAGCTGACCCCGTGCTAATCCCGTATCATGTACAATTTACACCGGTGCTATCCATCTTGAGGCGGGTTTCATGTCTTTTTAGGCTTTATGAGTATTTATCGGCCTAAACAGTATGGTTTTGAGCCGGTTTTGGTCTGAAAAAGGTATCAATTTTTACCATTTTGTCTTAAATCGAGTGTGGTTTTTAAAGGAACCACGAGAACGAAGAAAAGTGCTCGTCTTTTCAACTCCAACTGAATTGTCGGAGAAAGATGAGAAGTCAGAGATATCATGCTCAGGGCCGTAGCTAGCGTGAGGCAAGACGAGGCAATTGCCTCGTCTTGATTTTAGCCTTTTCCTTTTTTTTTTTTTTTTTGCACCAGTATCGCTCGGCAATAAAAAAGTGAGCTTCCACGTTTGCCCAAGATTGACTTTTCTTAAGAAAAGTGCCACGGAAAATTTCTGAGCCTCTAGATTTCAAAATTTTTTGGGGGAGGCATGCCAGACCCGAAACTTGCTTCGTCTTGTTCTGAAGTCTGGCTACAGCCCTGATGCTAGCTGAATTTTGAGGTGAATTTTACCACCTCAAAGCTTAATTACAGGAGCAAACCTGGCGTAAAAAAATTTGTATTTACCGCAGTGATTCGATTGGAATATGGGAAAGGTTTCCATATAACCCCATGCTATTCTAAAACAAAGCCGTAATCCCAAATTGTTTTTACCATTGTTTTCTTTATCCAAGAACTGTTTGCATATATTGAAGTATGGGGCTGTACCAAAATCTTGCTAGACTTGCTCTAAAAATGTACAAAGGAAATGGTTTCATGAATACAATTTTGAAAATGGCTATAGATTTTAAAGAATATGCAGGCTTCAGTTGTTTGAATTCGACTGGATTAATTTCTATCTGGGGGATAGCACAGTTTGATTTGTGAACTCATTTCTACTGGATAGCAATTTATCCCGTTGGCAGTGTTATCTGCCCTTTGAACAACTGGGCTCAGATCTGTAAAAAGAGTGCAGAAAGTGCCAGGGTTAGGCTGAAATAGGGACAGGATTTCAGTGAAGAGGTGAATAACACACCCTTATCAAGAATTGTTGGGAGAGCCCTCTGTTTTGAATTATCCACATAAATTCCAGTATACCCCAAGGTTTTCAGTCATACAAAAACTTTTAAGTCCCCAATAATACACACTACTCTACACTGTGAAATGGTATCACATGTTTTACAAAGATTCTTTCTGTTTCTTTTTTCTTTTAGTGTGACATATAACACTCTAGTTAGTATATACTCACAAGATTATCAGGTAAGTCTTATAACAAATGAGTAGTTATCCTTGGGGGACCTATATCTGATATCCTGTGTTGCAAGAAGATAAATTATTGGTATTTCTAAGAGTCTAAAGCTTAGCTCTGTATGGAAACATCAGTAGATACAGTGTGATCTAACCCTTGTACATGGAAGATGAGAGAGAAAAAACACTACAAGAAATTATTAAATTATTAAATTATTTAATTATTATTTAATTATTTAATTATTATTTAATTATTTAATTATTATTTATTTAATTATTAAATTATTGGTATTTCTAAGAGTCTAAAGCTTAGCTCTGTATGGAAACATCAGTAGATACAGTGTGATCTGACCCTTGCACATGGAAGATGAGAGAGAAAAAACACTACAAGACCATTCCCATGCTGTAGAATCAACCTGAAACTCTTTCACCTTCTGGAATGTTTGTCAACAGTGGTACATCAAACAATATCACTCTTTGCTGTTAAACCTGAAAAAGCAGAATGATCATCAGAATTTTATATCATACGTACTGAGATTTACACTGTGATGTTATATCATTCATGTCTTTGATTGGGTGAACAATCTATTTTCAGTCATTTGCTTCCAATCTTTGAAACATGTCAGTCAGTAAGGTAAAATCTCAGTATGTATGATAATGAAATGAAAACATCGCACCATGGAATGTGCTTGAACAATTTTTTTTCACTTGTTGGGATGCAAAAAAAAAATCTCTTGTTGGCTGCACTCACTTTTTGGGTTTTTATTGTTATTATTATTATTATTTATTATTATTTATTATTATATATTGCAACTTGTAAATAAAAATCACTTGTGCACACATTGCATGTAATAGTCTCTATAATTATTTGCATGCTCATTTTGTCATTACTAATCCCACTAGATATCAGGACATGTGAGAAAACCACAAAGCCTAAAACTATGTAACTGTGAGTCGCTGCACAAGGCTTAGTAATCTTAAGCTGGATTGGCCTGTTACTCCTTTCCTTACCTGGCGACATTCCAATATTTGCACTGTTAACACTTTTTTTAAGTCTCTTTTAATGGTATTGTATGGTTCAGTGGTAAACTGTCACTATCAGTTGATTTTTGTATTTTGTAACCTAAACCCTTAGTAGAAAACAATGTTTAATCACTGAGTAGCTGTTTATCATCCATCAACTGTCATAAAGATATTTCTATCATCTTCAGTACCAGTTGTTGAATTTTTTGTCTGAATGTATTTTTTTCTTGGCGGTTTACTGTTACAGAAAAAGACAAGAAAAAACCACCACAAGCATCATAAGCCAGATGTGATGGAGACCTATTACAAGAGGTGTGGCTGAAGATATATTTTACAACCCATTTATTGTGTTTTTAGAGCAAAATGTGAATACTCGGCAAAGTGTTAGATATATAGTGCTTTCAGGACAGTGAAGTATTTGTAAATATTTTGCAAGGTACCTGAAATGGTTCTTCTGAAGAGAGCCTGTATGATTAAGGGTTTTCAAAAGCAGCTTGCCCCCTGTTATAACTAATAGATACTTCCTCAAAATGACTGGCTGCTCTGTGAAGAAATTCTTCTTTACTCCCATAAGTGACCAAGACAGAATTTCTCCTTACAAGTTATCAATAAAATATCCTGAAGAGAAATGATGAGGATAAATATATCTTATTAGATGTTTTGTTGTGTAATATCGCTGAGTATTTTTATGAGTTGTGCCGTATTTTGACGAACCCGTAGGGCGAGTCAAAATACAAATAACGAGTAAAAATACTCATTGATACTACCCAACAAAACGTCTAATAGGTTATTTGCTATCCAACACGCCAAACTGTTATTTCAGTGCGGGCGAATTTTGCGGATATTTATTTACGGGGAGTGCGTGACAGAAGTATGTAAAGCAGAACGGAATTGGCGCGTTGTGTTGCTGTTTCTATTTTCTCCATTAAATGAAGAAATTTTCTGGTCGTCAAGCTGTTTTTCTTTGTTCGATTCATCTAATAAACTTGGATCTATATTTGCCAGCCATTCTGACTCTTCGTCATTGGAAATATGATTCAAATTGTCCGCCACTTTTTTTTTTTGGTAGCTACAATTCAATTCTTTTTTTTTTTCATAACTACAATCCAATTCTTCGCTTGTGCAATGCAAGAAAACCTGTTTAACTGGTACTGTATAATAGATGAGTACAAGTACGGCATGATATTTGTACTTGTCTGTGGCATTATTTGTACTCGTCTAAGTGTAGTTGGATAATAAAGAATAGTACGAATTAGGGGATTATTAGTTGATCCAAAACAAAATTCCCAGAACTAATACCATAAGAACTGTGTGGCAGACGGTAAGGAGAATTACCAATAAGATCTAGTAGTATAAGGGTAAAGTTAAAGGTGGCAAAACTGCCGCCTACTTGCATCCACAGCTGTAAATAAGGAAGCATCCTTGCCCAGAGCTCTCTAACATGCCTTGTTTTTCTAATAATAAGTTCCATTCTTAGTTTTATGTCTGGAAAGGTACAGTAATTTACCTCATCATCTTTGATGTATCAGTTATTGTTTCAAGTTAAACCTCATTTTTTCTTCTAAAATGTTTCAATTGTTAGATATTTGTCAGGTGTATCTCAAGACTCAGGAGAGCCTGTATTGTTAAGGATTGCAGAAGAGGTACGGGTATCTATACATATCAAATTAACAAGGGTAACTCGCATCTAATTTCTACTTACAATATCCCCTCTGAATCCAACATTAAGCTCACAAGAAGAGAGGAAATGATCACCAACTAAAGTAGCTCTTGATTTTCAAATGTCTGTGTTAAAAATTCCCATTATTATCATTATTCCCATTGTTTCAGAATCTAAAGATACAACATATGTTATGAACATGGTACTGTTGCCAAAAACTGTCCACAAAGTGGCATCTAGAACTTGCCAATGATGGAGAAAGTGTCTATTTACATCATACTCGTGTCTTTTTTTTTTGTTTTCCAATATTTCCATTCTTTCCTGAGGAGGTTGAGCTTTGTTTTTTCAAAACATCAGGTTGATTTATCACATTCTCTTCTGGCAAGAATAGTGCTTGAAAGACATCTATCTCACACTTGTTACGAGGGACAAAATCGTAAGTGCAGCGTTTTGTTTCTGACAGTATATATAAACCGTGTTTTGCCTTCTTACCTCTAGGAGTGACTAGCACCCAATTTCTTCTCACAATATCACCCTAAATCAAACATTGCAGTCGCAAGAATAACAGAAATCACCACCAACTAATGAATCTGTTGATTGTTAAACAAGTTCCCCTCGTCAGTACCTTAGGAAATATAGGGAGCAAGTATGGGAGAGGTATCTGGTCACTTCACTCCATGGTCATTTCGCCCCCAGTCACTTCGCTCCAACCAAAAGTCAGTTGGCTCCATAATCAAAGTCACTTCGCTCCATACAAAAGTAAATTCGCTCTTGGAGCGAAGTGACGGGGGGCGAAATGACCGTAATTCTATGGAGAATATGCTTATTGATGCGATGGGTTGATGAAACCTTAGCCCTGAAACTTTGATCCTCATGTCCGTGACTTGGATTTTTTAGTCATGGGAAAGTGTTACTGCAATTAGGCGAAATCTGAGGTCTGTGGCTCGGAAATTAACAACTCTGCGTCTTTCATATAAATATAATTAAGTAAGTAAGTAATTTTATTTAACCACATATCGCATATGAGCTATAGCTCGTTTAAATGCAAATGTGGAAACCCACCCATCCCACCCCAGGGGAGGACATTCATCACACAGTAATCTCGTGCGTGCGAAATTAACGTCTCCTACCCCTAACCCTGCAGGAGACGGGACCTCCATTTATTTGTCCCTATCCGAGAAGACTAGAATATCTAACCATTTCTTATAGAAAGGTAGCACATTCTCCTCAGTTATTTTAAGACCTTGAGTGTGGGTCCGGCCGGGGCTCGAACCCTCGACCTCCCGCACAACAGTTCAGCGCTCTATCCGTTATTCACTTTAATCCTGATTAGCTGACGGTGGTTGAAACTAAAGAAAATAGAAAACGGTTGCAATAGTTGCACAATAGACAACTGAAAGAAATAACAAACAACACGGCGGAAAGAGGACCATAAAGTACTTACACTGTGACGGCGACAGAAACATTACTAAACTGTGCTTTGAGAAAACGAGAAAACAGTTATATCACATGATAAAGTTTGCAGGCAGCACAGAGCGACATAAGGCGGCAACGGAATGACAAAGAAAAGCGCTAATGAAACAAGTGTAATTACAAAGAGAAAAAGACTTAAGTAGATGAACTCCAAACACGCAAAAAGAAAAAAAATCAATAAGAAAAAATGTCGCACCTAGAACTTACAGGAAAGTTTACTTTTTTCTGTTCTTTCTCAGCTCCAAGAGGTGTGGTGAGCCAGATGATGAAAGATCCTCTGTCTCTCATAGAGGACAAGACACTAGCTACTGAGGTGCACCAGGTAGGATACCATAAACAATACAGCAGTCAAATGTCGGGCATGCGCGTGGGGATCCATCCTGGCCGGCCACGCGCCAGTTTCCCGCGCAAAATTTCAAAGAAAAACAAAAAAATAAGCGAAAGCAAATTGAAACGTTCATAGAAATTTGTAGAAGGAAACAAAAATAGTGAAAAATGAAAACTCAAGACAAAGCTTTTTCAAGTATTTGAGCATTGGCACCTCGGACGAAGGGCTAAGCTCTACAAGTCAGTTTTAGAAACTCTCTACGGTGGCAAATTTACCTCATCGACTCAGTTGATAAAACCAAATTGTTCTTCTACTCCCCCACGGACGCAGCACCACAGTTTCTTTAGAAACTTACCCCCCTTTTATTCATTCGCACGATTATATCGTTGCACATATACTAATGCCCGTGTGTTGAATTCATGTAGAGTTTTACTTTAAAACAAAGACTAAACAACGTATTTACCTTATGCCTCTCACTTTGTTTTCCAGTGTATACTGAATGATCCAAACTACGGGCCCTTGGTGGACAACATCAAACGGTATCCTTAAGATGTTAGGAGACAAAGAAAAGCGGGAATGAAAGATGGCATTTGAAGTTGCTCTCCGTGTAATTTAACGAAGTTTGAATGTAAAATACATGTATTTAGAGTACTTAAGTTTCAGTCTTTGTCAGGGACAAGACTTTTTAATTAGTAAGGTGTGCTGCGTTTCCTTGAGTTTCCCTTAACTTATTGACAGTTCTGTCGGTTACGAGTACGAGTTAATTCTACGAGAGAGACTTGAAAATCGAGGCATTCAGTTCCTTGGTGAGTGATAGATTAATCTAAAAGTGGAGATATTGAAATGTAAACAGGTACAGATATACGAAGTATCACTGATGATACTAGGTGAGCGGGGCCTGGTTTCGATTCCCGGATTTGGTGTCGCATGTAGGTTGAGTTTGTCGTTGGTTCTCGGCCTTGCTCCAGTTTCCTACCCCGCAAAAAGAAAACAACCTTCCAAATTTCAATTCGATCCGGAGACAGAGGACAAGAAGAGTCACCTCGTGGAAAGTCCACTGCTAATTTCTCATTACTCTTTCCATTATTCTCGTTGTTTTCAGGGTTTCGTGCTCCAACTCCGCTTCCCAGTCAACTCAAATGGTCGAACGGCTTGTAACCGTGAAGGGAGTCGAGGGTTTGAGCCTGAGACCGAACTTTCATTAAGGGTCTCAGGACTTAGATGATTGGGGAGAATTAATTGAAAATTACTTAACATACAATTTTTCCAGGGCAAGGATCACAAACTGTTCTTGCGTTTCGTTTATTTTCACTGTTCTGGCTCTCTCAATGCAAATAGCAGGACACCTAGTGCATGTTTAAGTAAACTATTCGCCCTTGTTTGACGAGTGTGATACCCTACAGGTGTTGCAATGAAAAGACTTTTTGTGCCTTTCCATCTTAAAAATACCCGTACAAGAGAGCTTGCAATAAATCAAAAAGTAAATGAAAAAAAAAGACACACTTTTTTCAACAACTGAAGGCCAATTTCGTCAAGTACCTAAACATCATGCCGATCACTGGGTATTTTGCCTCGCAGTCTTCTTCGGAATGTCACACAGTCCTTGTGGAGCTCAGTTGTATGACATATCTGAGAGAGAGACGGATTTTCCTGATAATTTCCTCTTCCTTTCGTTGTGTAGGTGAAGATGACTTGAGAAGTCGTGGATACGACAAAACACCGGACTGCAAACTGGAAATTCCTATCGGTATGTACAAAACCAATCGCAACTTCGTTATCTGCGTTTCGTCTGTTGCTTTACCAGTACACGCCGAACGAAAAGGGTAAAATAAAATGCTGGTAAATTTAGGATGGCAAAAATTCTGTTTCCTTTACCACCAAGTGACCAAAAATGGGGATATTAGAAAATCCTCCGCGTATGAAACTCTTTACGGCCAGTCCACTCGGCATAACTCGGAGTTTCAAAGGACAAGATCGCTCATGTAAGATGCCCAAAAAGAAAATCTGCAAGGAGAATCGTCTGTCGTGTTGCTTTGGTTAATTTTGGTTTTTAAGTTTTTGTTGCCTTGTGTTCAGCCATTGTGCGCCTTTTTTGAGGGTGAAATTTGTCTGAAAGTGGGTGTTGACTACTCAAGCTCCGAATATCCTTTGCTATTCACTTCTGAGCAACTCGCGCATGATTTGCGACTGAAAAAAGTGTAGCCGTTGCAGGAATATGTGAATGAAAATCATCTTTTTGTGCTATATTATCTCGCTGTTTTAGAATGTAGGAAAACAACTATTTACCTCAGTGTTGGAGGCTAGCGCCACCTCCACTTGGAGGAATAGTTATTCATTATCAACTGAGTTGACGATGGAAATATGCCACCACAAAGAGTTTCTAAAGCGCTGTTTTGTTTAGAAATTTACTCCCTTTCTTCGTGTCTTATTTTCAGCTGTAGACGGTTGCGTGATTAATTGGATTGAAAGCAAAGCTTCGTTTGGCGATGAGTACAACCACCAGACGTATTTGAAAGATCAGTTCTGGAGTTACTGGAACAGGTAAAACGATGGACGTTAGAAGACGTACGTCGCGATCCTTCACTGTTTTTGTTAGTTTGTTTTCGATTCTTCTTGTTGGTTTGTGTCTATTTCGTCTCGCGCAAAACTTTATTCACTTTGGAAAGCCTAGAAGTTAAATATAAACTCGTGGAGATAGGAAAATCCTAAAGAGACTGCGAAGGAGGCACTGGACTAGCGTAATGTGTGTGCTCAGACATTTTAACATCCTTTAAATCTATTAGTTCGTCCGCATGATTATAGCTGTGCGCGTGGCAGGTTCTGTTGGAAAGTCGCGTATTGGGTATTTTTGTTGGCAGTTTGTAAAACCCGTGTAAGGCTCTGGTGGTGTTTTGGCCGATTATTTTTCGACGTTCTTTTGTAACCAGTTACGGGACGTTAAGAGACGATCACAGAAAAGGTGAGAATGGGAAATGTTTATGGATAGCGGAGAATACTGAGTAAGGATTGTAAATGACAAACTTGAAAACTTGAAGGTAACTTTTGATTGCACCTAACCAAGAGACCGTGATATATAAAGAGAACGTTAGACTATCGGCAGCGACTTATGGAATAAGTTATTGAAACCCCTGCTACACCAAATTCCGCTCTACCTCTCCCACCGTATTCTTGTGAGTGTAAAAGATAGTTCTGTATCCATCTCCCATAGCGGTGCAGTATCGCCATCGTGCGGATTGATAGCCCCCTTTTTTCAGCACTTCTTTTAATTTCTTCCAAGAAGTCGGGAGAATTCAATTCGAACTCTGATTGGAGAAAAATTAGATTAGTTTTCAATCAAGTATCAAAGTGATCCTGGAATGCTTTGGTTTTGCTCTACTTTGCTCTGTGATTGCCGGTAATCTAGAAAATTTGCGCGTGAAAACTGCTCTAAAACACATTGCAGATGATGGACCTAGAACATGTGGGCCAAACTTTTGTGTACAAACCGCAGCGCAGTAATGAGGTATTATTTGTCTGGTTTAATTTCGCAGATTTGGTCCAGGCATGGTGATTTACTGGTTTGGTTTCATCGATGAACTGGATTGCAACCGAGAGCGTGGAATCATCTTAAAAGATGACTTCCCGACAGATATCATTACCCTAGAATCCTTTTTAGAAACCTCTTGATTAAACAAAGGTAGATAAGGGAAGGAAGAATCTTTGTGGATTGGAGAGATCGAGGTTTGCCAAGCTGCCGTCGATTTGAACCAAAAAAAAAGGATTTTGGACGCAGGGTGTGTTAGCGCACGTCTCGCGTGGGTCACGCGCGTGTAAATCGGGATTTGACAGCGAAAGCACGATGCTTACTCCATGATTCACCTCCCGTGCCTGCTTCAAGTTGTGGAGTTCTAGATTGTAATGCTGAACTGTAATGAAGCTGGCATAGTACTTCTATAATACCTAAAGAAAAAGTTACACAATTCTAGAAGTCCAAATCACGGTTTCTGTAACATGAAACAGTTAAGAATGTTGGTGCTCTTCTTGGACGAGATTGAGAGCCGTAAAATTTCCCTGAAATTGTTACGGTATGCACCTATACTGGGTGGAGTCGGTAACCATCTATACTCCTGGGTAGAGAGAGGCAATAGTAAAGTGAATTATCTTGTACAAGAGTTGAACATGATGACCTCTCGAGAGGTCTTCCCGACCGTGTTGCTCCAGGGTCACTTACATCTAATTTGTCCTCACAATATCATTCCTGAATCAAGCATTGACGTCACGAGAACAAAGGAAGTAATCACCAACTGTTGAAGCTCTGTAAATACCACAAGAAATGCATATAGAAGACTACGGAGAATATGCTTTTTGACGTTAGAGTGTAAAAATCTCATTGGGTTCTTTAACGGCTCAGGAAACTTTTTGTTAAGTTTTTGATTTTGTAGCCCAATTCTAGACCACTACATGTTCCCTAGAAAGGTTTTCTTTTCTTTTTTTTTAAGAATAAGCTACAGTAATGACTGCGAAACAAGCAAATTACAAGGAAGGTCCTTACGCTAATTACATTACAATTTAACTTAGGGATTTCACGTTATTTACAAATACATGTTGTACTTTTTTTTTTGTAATTAAAAATAGGTTTTTAAACTCAAGTTACAGTTTTATCCTTATTAATTTACAATTTTAATCTTATAAAGAACCTGATACCTCTCAAAGAACATCTAACTTGAATTGTTACTACAAGGGTAAACAGAGATGGACTCTGTCAAAGGAATCTGTTCTCGTGCGCTAACTTGCTTCTACTACACTCTTTCGTACTCTCGGTCTCCCTCGTTTACCTCTGCTTGCTGTGTTTCTGCTCGTCTGTGATATTTCATCTCGACCCATGTTCCTCTCAGCCACTCTAGCTTTATAACCTTGAAATGTTTCGTTGGGTCTTAGAAGCAGGGGTACATATTGGACTTCCTGCGGGAGCCTCGATTCGTTTGGGTCATTGGAAGGTGATGTTATCGTCCGTTTCTCTACCAGAACGTAGAAGCCTTTGGATGCGAGATACTTGCTAGCGTAATCGTTTTTGTGGCTGCTGAGATCTAAGACTAGTCCTGGTATAAATAGAAACAAGAAAATATTTTGAGACGTTTTCAGCGAGACTTAGATAATTGGACTTTTGATTGTTGCATGACTCATTGGGAAACGTTGTCACCGGAATAAGTCTGCGTAAAACAGATTAAAATGTTTTGTGCTCGGAAGATTTGTAAACATAAATTGTTAACATTTTAGAGTTTAATTAGGGCAGTTTTCAGTTGTATCGAAAGTGATCCAGGGCTCCCTTTCTGGAAAGTCCCGGTACGTTTTGCCCGAAGCCATATTTTCAAATAAAATTGTAAGGAATAGAGGAGCAGTTGTAAGGAATAGAGGCAGAGTTCAATACCCTCACCAGTCCGTTTTGTTTCTTCCGGGCCCCAGAATTGATCTGGTTTTGCTTTACTTAGCTCTGTGCTCGGCCAGAAAACTCGCGCCAGTCTCTCAACCAATCAAATGCAAAACTAAAACCAATCCCACTTGGTCAGTGGCGTTTTTCCGTGCTTCAAGCGGGTTGCCAGTTTTAACTTTGAGTTTTCAGTGGTTAATGATGTTAACCTTGGTTGTGATTAGTAGTTGTGATTAGTAGTTGTGATTACCTTGGGTTTGGTTTTTCGACACTTCATCGAAAACATGCTCTTATCAACTCCAGTCCTGTGCCGGGAAGATTTTATTCGCATGTGCTTTTTGTCGCCAAAAGGTGCAAAGAGCAGTGATGCATGTCAGCGGTCTTGTTTTCGGTTTGGACGAGAGGCCCGCTAAACAGTAGAAATAGAGTTTCCTTTTTCAAATTTCTGTGGTGTAGTTTGGACGTAGGCTTATTTGCGGCTTTTTTTTTATGACTCATTCTATGAATGATTTTATTTGAGATTAAGTTGTGATCAAGAGAAAATTATGATTTTCTCTTGTTTTGATTCAATGTGTGTGTCTTTCCATCAAGCTGGTGAGTTGTAAACGTGCGGTGAATTCTTTTATCTTGCCTTTTACGATTACTTGACTCAAAGCCATCATGCTAATTCGTGCATTTATTCTGAAGCTTTTAATTGCCACTTCTGCTATTCGCTGATATTAGCCAGAACCATTAACCGTTAATTGTTGAGTCTGCTTTTCGTCGCTGAAAGTGCCTTGAGAAATAATTGGTTATTATTGTAGCCGGATAATCCTGGATTTTTTTCTTCTTTTCATACATAATCCCCTCTTTCGCGCCCCGTTTATTTGGTTTGTTTGTATAGTGATTACAGAAAAATTATTGTGAAAGCAGTTGAAAGATTGCCAAGGCTGTTACAATACCCAAGGCAAAAAAATACAAGTAGCTTAAACTTAAAGCAGTAATGGAAAGTCTTTGGGCGCTTATTGACATTATTAATCACACTAAAGCCTCTTGGATCTGCTATTTGCGATTTTTTTCGCAAACTACTTAGTTCTTATGTTGTCCATCTTAGTTTCAAGTAATTATAATTTCATTTGATTGTTATTTTGGCAAGGTTGCTTTGCGATGTTAAGCATGGAGTTGTTGCACTCTGCGGAACTCTTACAGGGTGGAAATACACGCCTCCATGGCAACTTTACGGATCTACGAAGATCGTTCTTAGAAAATAAACAAGATTTTCCATTCCTTACAAAGATTAGCCCGTATCATGTAAAGAAGTCCATAATTCTCTCTCGCTTTGGACCGTCTTTTTTTTTCTTCACGACACGGAATGAAAGAAAAAACAAGCTTTTTTGGCGGAGTGCAAATGTTTTCATGGCTTCTTGTTTTCAGGTTGATATACCATAAAAGCTAGCGATGTTATTCTGTCGAACCCTCTGGTTAACATTTAAAAGCTTCTAAAAACAGCTCGTGAGAACAATGACATTACTACTTGCATTTCCCTAACAAGAAAACCGCACATTCGTCACATGCTTCAGTAATTGCATTGAAGGCGAAATTCAAAACCTGATATTTATGTTGTCTGTATAAATCCACAGAGTCTCTTCGTAATCGAAAGGGATCCTTTTAATTTTCCGCTTCTATGTCAGTCTTCATTTTTTTGGAAAAAATGAACAGTGATTTACCATGACGTCTGCTTAGAATCCTGTTTTTGTAGGATCAGAATTGATCTAACGCTGTTATTAAGTCCGAGGTCATTTTAAAGTTATAGTTCTTTTTGCTCAAATTACCTCACGGTTTTTAATTCAAAGTGAGCCAACTTGTTGCTGCCTAACCCACAGAAAAAAAAATTGAACGACTGTCGGTTTTGGCGCATTTCCAATTAACCTCCTCGCTGCTCTAATTGGAAATATTCATCTAAACGCTTCCTTATTTGAATTTGAATTAAATCAGATATTCATTATGTCTGTCTATCCGGCGATGCTTAAAAGCTCTATTGAATTCGCTTCATCTTGCCGTCTAAGATTGTTTACTGTAAAACCTTCAGCCAAAGCCATTCTGATAATTTACCTGTTTCGTCGCTCAAGTCCAGAACTCTGTCACTATCGCCATAACCGCAGCGCTCTTTTATCGAGTTCAGTAGATTTACCACGGAACAGCTTGGATTGACAAGCAACGACTTCTGATCTCCGTAATAAATCGTTACAAACATGTTTGCAAAGCATGCATCGACGTCGTAACGAAGTAAAACAACCTCGCATCAACCCTTAAGTTTTTCGCAACTTGTCCACTACGGCGATGGTGTTTTGGCCGCGTCACAAACGCCACCCGAGTGATGTGCTCTTTTGCTTCAGACACGTTGACGATTGATTTCTTATTATATAAAGTACTTGCTTTTTTTTTTTTCGCATAAATGGATCTTGTCCCATAGTAACGGGCAGGTGATTTGAAGTAATATTCTTGAAACAATTGAATGGTAATGACTCAAATGAGGCATACACTGTATGATCGTGACCGTCCGTTACGCATTCGTTAGGGAAAGGCGAAGTTTGGTATTTGCAAATGTTTAATACGAAGCCCTCAAATTTGAAAGATATTCGTGTTACTTATTCCACTGTCGTTAGAAAGCGTGATAGAACCTAGAATTTCTTGTCACACCCGTGTAAGTCGATCGCCATAGCAACTTTTGCATTAAAGTCACGCAAAGCTCCTTGTTGCGTGATGATCGTACAAAATTTTTTCCAACCTCGGTTCCAGGGCCCACTAGTTCCTCCACTCAGATACCCAGTAAACGAGGAAGGATTGTTTCTGCAGAAAAGCATTTGTCAATAAATTGAAATGGTCACAACATGTCTCATCAATCTGAAGTAAAGCAAATAAAACCTTAGGCTTGATTAATTAAACGAATCCTCTGGAATTGCTCCAAGAAAGTAAAAGAAACTGCTTATGCTAGACTCATGCTATTACCTAGGGTACGCAATTGCCTCTAGGGACTCGCATTACATTAAAAAAATGTTGCTATGAGAGGATTCCAGAGAAAAGTAGCTGGTTTCTGTCTTCAGAAATACAACCGAGAACTAGGATGGGGTACGCTAGAAACAAGACGAATGAAGAACAGAGGAACACAATGTATAAAATGAGTGATAATCTTACAAACATTAAAACAGAAAAATATTGATTGTCTCATAGAAAGACCAGAACATATAGAAGCCGTAAATTCAAACTTATAATACTAAAAGCTAGTAAAGATATTTTAAGCTTTGTTTTTTTTTCCCTAGATAGAAGTGAGTGGAATTCTTTACCTTCGGAACCGGCAGAACTTCCAAAAAAAAGTTCCAAATGTCCAAACTATTTTAAGCTTTGTTTTTTTTTCCCTAGATAGAAGTGAGTGGAATTCTTTACCTTCCGAACCGGCAGAACTTCCGGCAGACATTATGAATTCTAAATCAGTTGCTCTTGTTAAAACAAGTTTAACCAATTATTTTAAATAGGCATTCTGATTGGTTCACTCAGCTCGTACTCTGAGTCACCTTCTTTGGAAATGCATTACGCCAACTGTTGCCGAGCTGAAAAAAGTTCCAAATGTCCAAATTGTCAGGATTTAAAGAAATTTGATAGAACAATTATTCCATTCGCACTTGTTGGATACGAGATTGGTTATGGCCAACTCGGCGCTAAGCTCCTTATTGACTATTGACTATCCTATATCCACACTCATGGAATAATTTTTCATTATTTTTAATGATGTTGGTGTGATGCCATTTAAAGAGGAACCGAAGCCTAAAAATGAACCATTTTTAAATTGCAGCTTATAGTTCAAATAGCAATGTTCGAGGGTTTTTTCCAGTCTTTGGGCCCAACTTCGCCTCGAAAAAATAGTTTAAAGTGGTATTTTGGCCTCGTAGTACGGCGGCTCAGAAAAGCGATGTCAGCGGTCATTTTAGCTCGCTCTTACGTCACTGGTGGGGAAGAAAGATAATAAACCCGTACTCTTCCTACAGAAATTTGGTTTGGTTATGGAGTTATCGAAGTTGCGTGACTTGTAATGGGGATTAACTACGAAAATGAAATAGTAACAGTTGTTTTTCTTAAGTTGGTTCCCCACCACTGACGTCATAAACGACCGCTGCTGACCTATTTTGAGCCGACGGTCTTACAGCCCCAAAAGCGGGAAAAAGGCAACTTCAAATCGAATTTTCTCGTAAAAAACAAGAAGTGAACGAAAATGAATATCGACACTTTATCTTACTCCTCTAAAGCTAACTAGAAATGAATGCAAACAATATACCAATTTTAGGCTTCAGTTCCCCTTTAAGACTTTACCGACTCATTGACATGTAGATACAGATTTGAGTTTGGAAATTTCAATTTTGTAGAAAGTAAGGCGTGCCCAAATTAGCGTATCACCCGAAAACTGGTTAAGGAAACCTTCATTCTTTAAGGAAAATCATTGAAAGTGTTTAAGTTAAAATTTTTGAATTTGCGCGGTAGTTGTGCTTCACGGTTTGATGACTTTTCGTGTTTTACTAGTGACCCACCTTTGGGCTTTTCTGTCCAAGCGGCCAAAAATTAACAAGGAAAGAAAGGTGATGTTTCAATATTTTTTAGTTATATTTCCAGTTCTACTTATTGGCTTTATAATCTTCGTGAAGTTTAGTTCGCGATGAAAGCTCTTGTACCGACCGTCTCACATCTGAAGCCCAAGGTTTTTATTAGATTTAAGGCAGCTAACAAAGGAGGTGGCGTGGCCGAGCGGTTAATGCGTTGGATTTGTAATCTGGTGACGGGTTCAAGTCCTCCGCCCTGTTACTCACGGGATTTGTTCCCAGTTGCCCCGGCCCGAGTTCATCTCTTCAGCTGCGCTGTGTAAATGGCCAATGAATTGATCTGCCTCCTGCTAGTTGGAAATTTCAAGCACTTTATATTTCTTGGAATTATTTGTTTCTCTCTCTTTCATTGGGTAAAGCGCTCAGAGGCTTGCAATAAGCGTTACATATGTTGTAAATTTATGATTTATTGTAAACTTTTGCGAACTTTTTTTCTTCGGGAAAAAGTTTTCACGGCGGATCAATGAAAAACCGTGCGAAAAATTTAAACCCGCTCAATAGTCACGATACCGGGTATCTATACGACAGAGTCACCACCCTCGTGTAAATCTGATTTTGAAGCAATGAGGAACCATGTTGGTCCTTTATGTATTTGTGAGACTGATCTGAAATATAAATGATTGTTCTTGAACGAATCCAGCCTTTCTTAAAATTTAACGGATGGATCGTAAAATTATCTGAAAGCTAAAGGGAATTACTAAGAAAATACCAGAGTGCAAACAAAAGAAATCAAATACGTGTCTTGGATTTGAAAAGGGGCTTTACCTTGGTGCAGAATCTCTATAAAACTTACAGAATTTCATTTCAATAGAAGAGCCAAAACGAGCAATTAAAAGGTTTAATGGAAGGACGAAAATGAGAAGTTAACCAACAAAGAAAACCTTCAACACTTACAGTATTTTCAAGTTGCTTTTCCTTATTCTTACTATAATGATTGACGTAAATAGAAATTACTACATTTATACTAGGCTTTTGTATTCTAAAGATATTCACAGCTTGTCATGCACGTGGCTTTGCCGGCGTGTCCTGCTGTGATAAGGAAGAACTTTCAAACGCATGACTTCGGAAGCGAAAAACATCGTGTTGAATTGTCGCTAGTGACTATAATTAGATTTTCATGACGTCAATCAGCGGTACCTGAAAAGCACAACTCAAAGAACTTTGGCCCCGGGACAAAGACGGAATAAAAAAAAAATAAAATACAGGTAAATTGAACTGAGCAAGAAGAGAGCGCTACTTTTCTGAAAGCAAAAACGCCTGATTTAAACAAAAGATCAGCTGTTATCGAACGCTATACTTCAAGTGCAGAAGAGATTGTGTCCCTCTGGTAAAATTTCCAACCACAAGAAAAAAGTCGGTTAACACTATTGTCGTGCATGATCCTAAAAAAAAGGGATTCCCCGAAGGCCGCTTCTCTCGTTGGAGTAAGAAACGTACTTTCGTGGTGTATTTTCAAAACGTCCCATCATCATGTTGTGTGTTAAATTTTAGTTCGATAAGGAGAATTCCTGCAACTTAGAAATTAACCTTTACGAAAGGTCTTGCCGTAAAAATGTCGACTTCATGATAAATTTATTCATAACCAGGTGTCTTGATTGACGTCAGCACGAATCAGTCAATGCTAAAAAAAGAAATTTTATTGAAAAGATGTTGATTTAAATCACGCCACTGTAGTTTTACAGAAAAGGAGAATGTTACGTGAAAGGTTTAGTAACTAGAACACTTTTTACTGCAATAGTACTGCCGGACTGATCGAGCATAAGAAAAAACTTCTCAGATTTGAGGCTTGACTTTAGGCGAGGAGAGGGCAACAGGTAATTGCATGAAGTTTTTAGTGTCGCTTTTCCCTTCTCTATATTGACGATTTCCGTGTCCTCTCCTTGAGGTTATATGCTTTGTGAAACACTGAACGCCACCGCAATTTACAAAGGAACATTACTAGGAGAAAGGCGATGCGCTAAATGTTGCCTTGACATCCTGTTTCGTAATTTGTTATTATTATTTTTTTTTTTTGCTGCAACATGTTTGCCTTTTTCGCTTTGTTTTCTTGAAATATTCGTGTGAGATAATTTTTCCTCTCATGCATTAAGTGACTCAACGCTCAACCAACAGCAGGCATTTCGGTCTAAATTAAATCTTTTTCCTTCCAAGTATTCCGACTAAAAGTTTAGATCTTGAAAGATCTCAATAGCTTTTTCAACCGCCAGATGAGAATAAAAAAAACTATCACCTAGGGAATACTCATTGATTAAATCTCAGAATCAACATGCAAATAAATGTATGGTGGAAGGCAAACCAACATTTCGATTTTGGCGTTTCAGTTTTAAGACTCGAAATCCAATTCCTTTTACTTAAATGTAAATGCAATATTTGAAGAATTTGTAAAATGAGGTGTTTTGGAGCTTCTAGTTACGTCGTTCTTTTGAAAGAAAGAAAGGAAAATGCGTGGAACAGGTAAAACTCTAAAACTCTAAAACCCCAAAACTTCGGATTCCGCACTCTGATGCTTAACCACTGAGTCTCAGGGAAGGCTATGATTACAAAAGCTAAAGCCCGGTTCGTGTGCGTCACGTGTCCTGCATACAGCTATGATCGACATTGTCGAAAGCATCGAGGAGTCGTTAAAGTGAGGGTGGCTTTTTTCTTAAGGTAACAATTTGTATGACTATGGCTTCTTCTATGCCAGTTATTTGACGAAAACTCCGTCTGCCAGTTATTTGTGACTCATGTTCGTCATTTTGCTTACTGTGGGTCCCGCAAACGGTAGCTGGATACTATATCCGCCACTC